CCTTCTCTGCCTGACTTATTTCGCTCAGCATAACACCCTCAAGGTCCATCCATGTTGCTACACATGGCCAGATTTCATTGTTTCTCATTGGCATGAATTGTTTTGAAAGAAGCCATGTGGGGGGGAAAATCCCAGACCATATTCCTTCTCACTCTGCCCCCTGTCACGCCAAGCCCGTGTCAGCAGCACGAATTTCAGTCCCTCACCTGGTTCCCCGTGGCTATTCCCAACCCCTCCCAGTTTTTTGTTATCCCGGAAGGCACCACGATACCACCAAAGGCCAACTTGGGGAACATCGGTTCGCCTCCTCACTCTCCAAATATTTATCAACCTCCTTAAATCATCCTAAACAAACACACAATCCTAATAAAAACACTGTGTTTCTCTGCAAGCAGGGTGTCCCGAGAAGTACTTCTTTTTTTTTTTTTTTTAATTTTTTTAATGTTTTTATTTCTGAGAGACAGAGAGAGATAGCGTGAGCAGGGGAGGGTCAGAGAGAGAGGGAGACACAGAATCAGAAGCAGGCTCTGGGCTCTGAGCTGTCAGCACGGTGCCTGACGTGGGGCTCGAACCCACAAGCTGTGAGATCATGACCTGAGCCAAAGTTGGACGCCCAACCGACTGAGCCACCCAGGCGCCCCCCGAGAAGTACTTCTTAAACTTTATTGTGCACATATATCACGGGGTCTCATTAAAATGTACACTCAGATTCAGTCTTCTGGAGAGGGACTCCGAGAACCTGCATTTCTAGAAGCTTCCAAGTGATGCCAGTGGGGCTCTTTGGGAAACTACACTCTGGGTGTGGAAGCCCCAGGCAACCCCACCTGTGCCTCCCACCGGCTGTCGAAGCCTCTCCTTCTGAAACCCCTACTGTGGGGATGTCTGATGGGGGCCTAGGGGCAGCAGATGGCATGTGCCCTTTCTTGAGCCAACACTTCTTGCTTTTTCACAAAAGCCTCTTCCCTCAGCACCATAATTCCCTCTTTTATTTACATCTTGTTTGTTCTCATGCCTCTTGCTTTCTCCCAAGGGCCCATCAGTATAGCTAGGACACGTAAGACCGATAGGCAGTTGGGATTTTGTTCCATTTTGGTATAATGCGATTCCCCTGAGAAGGCTGAAATTATCTCCCTTGACCCCCATGCATCTTTTATCTCTCGCAGCTTTCTACTTGATGCTTCTCCTGTAATCCCTGATGTTATTGTATAGTTAGGGGGAGAGGGAATGTGGGGTAGAGGAGGAGGGGGCCTGAAGTCTCTCTCTCTCCCTCTCTCTCTCTCTCTCTCTCACACACACACACACACACACACACACACAACTTCTATGCTCTGCAAGGAACTTCCAAGAGTCAAGTTCCTTTCTGGGCCTTGGTTTCTTCATACATATACTACAGGGTCGAGCTGGCAAATCCTTGAAGGTTCCTCTACCTTCAACATTCTCTGAGTTTAATATATCAACCAGCGTATTTTAGTTTTTCCCTACAAAATCTGGGGCCTTGACTTTCCATCCAACTCCACCCCATGCTTCTGTGTGTCTTTTGAGTGATCATGTATCTTTTCTGAGCCTTCGTGCCCTTGTTTACAGGTTGGGAGAGAAGGAGAGTCACCTGATCTGGGCAAGTTAGGGCATAAATAGGGCCCTGGATGTAAAGGTGCCTGGCATAGTTCTTGGCCAAATGAGTTTCTGAGTCAGCTCGAGCTGTCATAACAAAATGCAAGTGCTAGCAGATTCCGTGTTGGGTGAGGATCCTCTTTCTGGCTTGCAAGCTGCCGCCGTGTCATTGCGTGCTCACCTGATCTCCTCTTTGTGTGTGACTGGAGGGCGAGAGAGCTCTGGTCTCTCTTCCTTTTCTTGTAAGGACACTAACCCCATTGTCGGGGCTCTGCCCTCACGACCTCATCTAAACCTAACGACTTTCCAGAAACCTCACCATCGCATTGGGGGGTTAGGGCTTCAACATACAAATTTGGGGGGGGGGCACAAACCTTTAGTCCACAACAATAAGGGCTGGTCAATGGGCTGAATTGGTTAGTTCATTGCCCACTGTGTGTGGGGAGCAGTGAAGTAGCACCCCAAAGTGTGGGGAGGATTGGCCCCTGTCCTCCAGTCAGCTGGCACAGAGATTTTTGAGTAAAGGATGGGAGGTGGTGGCTTAGCAGGAGACCAGGGAGAGCAGATTCTAGGATGTGAAGGAGAAATAAAGCAGAGGGGTGGAAGCGGGGAGAACATGCCTGGAATCCCCAAGTAATTCGAGTAGGCATTGTCTGGAGGCCCCAGAACATTTCCTAAGCCCCCAACCAACACCGAGAAGGTGCGTCTGCCGGGAGACAGCAGCAGGAGGGGAAAGGGTCTGGGGGTGTCAGTGCCCGACGTGGGAGCTCTGAAAGGCAGAGGTCTCGGACTTCTGATGGGGTGGGGTTGAAGGCAAGGAAGCCCAGAGACAACTTGCGTGGCTCTTTCAGAGTCTTCACCATTCCGGCTGGGAGTCTGGGAACTGCTGGGGCGTGTGCAGGGGAGGGCAGCGTGATAAGGGATTTCATCCTGAGAGCACTGGGTGTGAGTAGCGATGGCAGTGACGCCACCCTAAGTGAGTGTCACAAAAACATGGGCAAGGGGCTGGAATCGGGTACCCTCGTTAGTGTCATTTTTGTTAAAATTTCAAGGTTCCATCTAGGTGTCATTTTAAAACTCTGTTGGAAAAAAAATACCATACGTTGATCACTATTAGTTATGGGTAACTATGGTGCCTTTGATTCTGCTGTATTAGTGCCCCAGGTGAGTCATGCAAAGCATATTTGAGACTCCGCTGTTCATCTGGAAGTGAAGGGTGATGTTTGTGGTCTTGGTGGGCACGTTCACCTGAGTGTTAAATGAGTCCCAAGATCGCTCATGAAATAAAGTAATACAGGGGGCGCCTGGGTGGCTCAGTCGGTTAAGTATCGACTTCAGCTCAGGTCATCTTGCAGTTCATGGGTTTGAGCCCCGCATTGGGCTTTGTGCTGACAGCTAGCTCAGAGCCTGGAGCCTGTTTCAGTCTGTGTCTCCCTCTTTCTCTCTGACCCTCTGCTGCTTACGCTGTCTCTCTCTCTCTCTTTCTCTCAGAATAAATAAAACATTAAAAAAAAAAAGAAATCGAGTAATATTGGTAGCACTTTTTGCCTAACACCTGGTCTCTGTTCTCCGTGTGTGGGGAGGGGAACTTGGGAGGGGGGGGTAGTTCCATTTAGGGAGTAATTCCTGTAGCTTTTCTTCAGGCATTATTGACCCTGAGGAACTCTCCGGGAAAGAGAAGGGACAGGGGCGCCTCGATGGCTCAGTTTATTAAGCCATTGACTTTTGGTGTCAGCTCAGGTGATGATCTCACCATGGGTCTGAGCCCCCAGTCTGGCTCTGTGCTGACAACGCACAGCCTGCTTGGGATTCTCTCTCTCCCGCTCTCTCTCTGCCCCTCCCATGGTCACTCTTTTCCTCCCTCTCAAAATAAATAAATAAATAAATAAATAAATAAATAAATAAATAAATAAATAAATAAAATAGAGAAAAGGGGCAAATCTCTGAGTCACCTATTAAAATCCCAAAGGTCTCTCTAGAGACCCATTTGGAGCGGTTGCTTTGGATCAGCCTGTACAGTGCTCGGCAGGCTGACTCTCCCAGGGGCTCTGAAGGCCCAAATGTGACCAGCAAGTTGGTTTTTATAACCAACTTACAGCCTTAAGGAGAAGCAGCTTAAGCGGGCCCCACCGGCCCCTCAAGGCCCTGGTGCTGGCCTCTGGCTGGCCAGCAGGCGGCGCGCAGCGTGGGGCCCGGAGGGGAGGCGGGCCTCTCGCCCCGGCCGGGACGTGCGCGCGCCCGCCGCCGGCGCCGCGCACGCTGGGGCTGGGGAGCCATTTCCGGGCGGGGGTGGGCGGGGCCGCCGGCGGTGGGACTTCCAATCTCGGCGACCGCGGCTGCAGGGGGAGCCCGCGCTCCGCCGCCCCGCGAGGCTGTCGCGTGGTGAGGAGCCGGGCCGGCGAGAGGGAGAGGCTGAGGGGAGGAGCAGGGAGGCGGCCTCGGGGCAAAGGAGTGCAGGGGGCCGCCGCGGCTCCGGAAGAGGGACGGTCGAGCTGGGACCGAGGGCTCCAGGGTGGGCTGGGCACGGCAGGGCAGGGGAGTGTAGGGGAGGAGGGAGGGTAGGGCTGGCGGATGCCGAGGGGGCGCGCTGAGGCTGGGCGCGGGGGGCCCGGCAGTGGGTGCTGGAGAGCGCCGGGGCCAATAGGCAGCGGGCTCTGAACCCCCACTCCCGCGGAGGTAGGAGCGGACGTGGGGCAGCCCGATCTGCTGCTCCTTCCGAAGGGAGGAAGGGCTCCGGGGTGGGAGGGATGGGGTCGCGGATGAGGCCCGCCGGGCTCCGGAGGCTGGACGCCGGGATGGGCTGCCCTCGGCGTCCGATCCTTAGCAGTGCTGCGTTGGTGGGCTGGGCCCCCGGCTCGGGTTGGCTGCGGGCTGGGCGTTTCCCCGGGTGTCTACCTGGGGGGCTCGCTTCGTGGGAGGCTGGGCCCAGATTGGTTTGCTCAGTTGTGGGCGGGAAGCCCAGGGCCAGCAGGGTTCTGATTCGCTGGCTCGGGTGCTGGGGGCGGAGTCTCCTCGCTGGGAGTGAAATCTGAGCTCTCAAAGGAGGGAGAGAACCATTTCTTGACTGCTCTAGGGACTCGGGGCGGGCAGACGCGACAGTTTAAAGCTTTGGAAGTAAACAAACCTGGTTCCCTTTTGCAGAGGGGAGGCCCCGTAAGGACAGCTGGAAGAGGAAGATGCCGAGTACAGACCTTCTGATGTTGGTGAGCTTTCCCAAACATCCCCTTTGTTACAAGTCGCATGTCCCTTAAGTTTTATTTTTAGTCCGATGGATCTGAGTGTGTAACTCTCAGTTCTGATGCTTGCTTTGAGTAGCTGAGCGTTTCTGCTACGTGTATTTTGGGTTTAATATTTGAGACGGGTAAGGATACATGACTGAATTAAATATATGAATATATTTGTATTTAATGAAGATGAGGACTCTTTTACAGAATTCTTGCAACTTATTTTAATCTCTCCCTTCCCATACTACCAGAGCAGTTTTCAAACTTGTATTAAATTTTGTTTGGGTCTGCCATATATTCGCTTATAAGTGTTTGTCTCTTATAAATGTTACGATTCCTGGGAAAGCAGGTATCCTGTCTTTTTTAAAGATGAATAAACAGTTGTGACAGTGCTCTGTGTATAGTAGGTGCTTGACAAATGCTTGTTGAGTTAAGCCCAGTTCTTTTGCTGTTTTTTCCCCTCTCCAGATTTTCTGTGCTTTTTTTTTTTTTTTTTTTTTTTTTTTTTTTTTTTTTTTTTTTTTTTTTTTTTTTTTTTTTTTTTTTTTTTTTCCCCTCTTTTTTTTTTCTGTGTTTTTTTTTTTTTTTTTTTTTTTTTTTTTTAACCGAGCAGGGAGAATAGTATTGCCAAATGAATGTTTACCAAAGTGAGGTTTTATTCTTGGGACCTTTATGGTTCCATAGAGGCTCTTTATTGTGAGAATTTTAGGGAGCCTGTAGTTTTTCAGTAGTTATATAGAAAAAGGAACATTTCATTGAAAAAAATTTTTTAAATTTTATTTTTGATAGAACATAAGGCGGGGGGGGCGGGGGGGGGGAGAGGGCGGGCAGGGAGAGAAAAGAGAGAAAGAGGGAGACACAGAATCTGAAGCAGTCTCCAGGCTCCGAGCTGTCGGCACAGAGCCCCATGTGGGGCTCCAACCCACAGACCATAAGATCATGACCTGAAGTCGGTCATCCAACCGACCCAGCCACCCAGGCGCCCTGAACATTTCGTTTTTATTAAGCTACTTCTCTGAGTCTGAGGTTTCTTTGTGCAAAAACATTGATTTAAAAACCATTCCTTTCTTTTTTTACCTCACTATCGCAGAGAGTTAGTTGCTATCATTGGGAATTTGGCTAAAACGAGTGTGTGTGTGTGCGCGCGCGCACACGCGCACGCGCGCCTAGTGCTGACTTTCTGTAGTGGCAAAACCTATCAGTTCAGTGGGAAGGAAAAAGAGGGAAACTTAGTTGTGATTAGTTCTGGTCTGAGGCAGAGAGCAAGGATGATTTTAAAGACACAGATAAATATTTGGCTCATCCACAGATCCTGATGCAGAGTTCACCCAAAATAGTTTCTTGCCTCAACTTTCATGGAATGTCAGTGGATAATAAATTGCCTTATGTGATTTTAAATTATTATTCCAAGAGCCATAGGTTAGGAAAATTGGAAACTGCAAATAAGTAAAAGGAAGCAACTCCCAGTACTTCCACTACTAGGAAACAATCACAGTTAGCACCTTGGATGGTTAATGCACAATGATTTGTAACAATTGACAATTTGTTTCTCTTCCTACAGATCAGTATCTTTATGTCAATTAGGATTTCTGGGTGCCAGTAGGATATACCTTCGTGCCCAGAGATGTGCTTCTTGGGCCTGTGGCTCTCTTTAGCAGTGCTTTTATTCCGAATATTAACTTTGGAATCAGTTTTGTTTTTTAAAGATTTCTGTAGAAAGCACCATTACTTTTCATTTTCCTCATTTGACGATCTAGAACATTTAGGGTGTTGCTTTGCTTCTTGGTGTAAAGAATTAATTTATACGGATAATGACTGGCCTTCAAGAATCCTCACGCTCTGAAGATACTGCACATGGTTCTTGAGGGGCTTTCTCTGGAGAAGTTGTTATTCCTTCCTTTTTTTTTTTTTTTTTTTTTGGTTATTCATTCTTTGCTTGTGCTGTGCTGAAGAATCAGTGGCCAGGGCCGGGTGTTCACTGGGGGCATTAAACCATCATTATCTTTGTTCTTTAGTTACTTTGTATGAAGCATGAGACTTGTTCTGGGCCCTCTAACTGAGAAGAAAGGACCCCAGTTAATAAAAAATGGCCTCCATGCAGGGCAGCGTATTATAGAACCTCAGAACCTCAGAAGTCGTCTCGGAGGCCATATGATGCAACTTCTTACTTATGTTGTGCTTGGATCCTTTTTTGAGCATCTCTGATAAATGGTGTCCAGTCACCCATCTTTTCTGCTGGAGGAGCAAGATGGCATAAGCTAGGAGATCATATACAGTGGATCCAGAGGTCATAGAAGCCTGATAGTTAACACTTATTGAGCAGCTGTTACATGTTAGGTGCAGAAATAGAGACTCTGCATATTCATTTAATTTGCACAGTAACCCTTTGATAAATATGCTGGCATCCTTTTGCAGGTGAAAAACTAGGCTTAGGGAGGGTACCGCAGCGATGAAATGCCTTAACCACAGCTAGTCTTTACCTCCCTCCTTACCTGCTTTGTGATGCTGCCTCCAGGCCACATTCCCCATAAGGGACAGAGGTTGGTGAGCTTTGTGACTGATGGGAGGGGGTTTGTTTGTGTGTGTGTGTGTGTTTGGGGGGGGGGGCTGAGTAGGATAGCTGTGCCCTCTAAGGGAGCACTTTGGAAGCGAGTGCTTTTGTTTTCTAGTGCCATCTTGTCAGAAAATACTTTTTTTTTTTTTTTAATACAGGTTGTTTATTTTCTCTCACCTTGCCGTTAGGGCACTATATTGAAAGTTTAAAAGTTATATTCGTGTAACTGTAATGCTGCAGTCTTTGAATTTTATTTCAGAGTAGTAAAGGGCATACCAAGTATTTGTTATGAAGAGAGGGCGCTGGGTTTGGTAGGGCTGGAGACTTCTGCATGGACAGGATCCTGCGACCCTAAAGCAGGAAGATGAATGGAGTCCATACAGGACCGACTTTGTATTCCGACCACAGAGCTCCGGCCAACGGCCCTTGATTCTGCCCTCTTTTGATAAGGGCGGTTTGCCTGCCTTCTCCCACTTGCTTGCTTATGACATGTCATGGGCTGTAATACTTCCCACCTGCTCTCACAGAGAGTAAGAGGGGGGAGAGTATCCATCTGACACTTGCGATGCTTTCAGAAGAATTTCAGGTCCAGGAATTTTTTTAGCATTTTTTCTCCCCGTTGGCAACCATTCTTTTCATCCATGTTCTCCTCCTTCCTAGTGCCAGGGAATGGCATCGCTTTGCAAGTTGTCAGATACTCCTGGCTTTTAAGAACAGCCTACTTTCTGAAGGTAAATCGGCTCCTCAGGTGGCTTTTCGCTTTCCCATCCAGTGAATCATACGCAGCATGATAATGCTGGGTGCAGTTCAAGTGATAGTTTATCTAGGGCCAAGGTCCTCAGCCAAGGTTGATTTTGTCCCCCCAGGAACATAACCTTAGCATCTGGGTAGCCTGTGGATTCATACAGATAGGGGACTGAGTCTTGTCTCAGAGTTTAATGGGCCTCCTACGGTGTTACTTAGGGTTATTTTGCCCGGGGATGGTGTCCTGCTTTGGAATATGTGTATTGGATGACATACTTCATAATCTGTAACGGAGTAAAATTTTAAGAAATGCTCTCCTCTGCAGTATTTTTGCAGCACTCTCTTGATTTGGAAACAGTATGCCTGTCTCAGCTTTGTGTTTTGGGTTCAGATGGAATGTTTCCAGACCTTAGAGCTTTATCTTTGAGCCTTGAATCTTTTTCAGGCATGCTTTCTTTCTGAATGTCAGATAGAATTTGAGCAAAAAACCAAAAACTTGTCACTAAAAGCTCATTTGTGGTATTTGAATCTGGTGTCTTGTTTGTAGGATTGTCTAGAAGAAAGGGAAAATTCATCAGGACCTTTAAATTTTTGTTGACAATTCGAGTGGCCCTCACTGTACTTGGCATTGCTCCAATCTTACTAGTAAAGCAAAACTTTCATAACAAGTTTGATAATTTCTCCAGCTATTGGTCTAAAGGAGGGAGGGCTTCTAAATAGAAGAACCTCACATCCCAGTTTTTTGGCTTGGCTTTGCCATCTGGGAGTCAGGAACTTTTAGTAACATTTGCTTTCTTAACTAGGCTTTGCCCAATGCCCTGTTAATACAGTAGTGCACGTTGGTGGCACAATCGGCCATCGTCTTGGGATTCAGAATTTTCTCCAGGGAATTGATTTCTAGTGAATCAGTCCATATGTGGCAACATACAGAACAGAATTACTGGGAGAAAAACCATGCCGTGGGGTGAGAGGAAGTAGGAGGCATCGGGAAGATGGAGTAGTGCAGGCTGAGTCGTTGGTTGAATATATCTCTCCCGGCAGCCTCCAGTAGTGGGGCTGAGGGCATGAGAGGACTGTTTACAAAACTGGGCAGAGTTGAGGAAGACCGGTAGTGGTTGGTGACACACCTCAGGGCTGACAGCCGGCCGGCATCACTGTTAGGCCTGAAGGGGCAAAGATACAGCAGTTTCTGGAACCTTGAGAGTGGCCTGTAGCCCGGCAGGAAGGGAATTGAGGGGAATCATTACCTCAGACTCTGTCTTTTCCCACCCTCTCTGATCGCATGCTGGAGCCTTTCGCCGGGCCAGACTCAACCGGAAAGGGAGCCTGAGTGATTTACTTCATGCAGGGCAGCCCTGTGAGGCACACAGTGGTGAGGAGGTTGGGTTGAGGGGGTAGAGGACCCAAGGGAGGCTGGCCAGTGTGCTAAAGTTGAAGGCTAGTTAGTTTCGAAAGGCGCAAGCGAGAAGATACCTTGTTAGCAGAGTCTGGCAGAATGGAGAGGACATGGAAAGTTCTAGAGAAGGAACGTTCTCACCGATAACAGAAGGACAGATTCAGAGGCAAAGTGTCACCACGGCTTTGGCAAGGCCGGAGCTGCTTTCTTCCAGGGGTAGCCTCAGAATCTTAATTGCCTCAAAGGCTTTTAGAAATCCTGCAGGCCACTTCCCTTGTTGTGTGG